CTTAACTAAGTCTACTACTTATACTAAGTATATATATATTCTAAACGTAATATCTATTCTCTTACTTTCTAACTATAGTTTAGGTTTATTTTAATTCTCTCTTAACTTTAGCTCTAACTATATAATTTACTGCTATAAATTATGCTTTTTTTTTTAACGCTTAAGCTTTCTTACTTTCTCCTCTAGTGCATAAAGTTTAAGATTTACCTCTTAGATATCTTATTTCTTTAAGTAAAGTATAAGTAGGGATAATAGGAAAGTTAAGCTATATATATACTATATAGATGCTATATTTATACCTTATTTAGGTGAGTTTTATATTAAAATTAGGCGCTTAATATTTAAACTAGAAAGTAAGTCTAAGGGGTTATATAAGTTAAAAGGAATTATAGGATTTATTACTTTTTACTATATATATTTTTCTTAGCGTTTATACGTTTAGTATAAGCTTTATATAAGTTAAGTAGGTCTTAAGTTATTCCTCTACTAATACTTATTATAGCTTATATTTATAAGGTAGTTCTATTATACTAAATCTATAAATACTATATGCTTTATGCTGATATATAGTTAATATATATCTAGATAATACCTAGTAAATATTTACTTTAGAACTACTATTAAAAGAGATTATGCTTTTTTAGTAGTAGTGTTATCTTTTATATAGCTTAACTTTATTAGGTTAGTATTCTTCTTAGTAAAGCGCTACTATTAAGCTAAAATCTAGCTGAGGGATTAAACTAATATAGCTATAATCTACTTTAACTTCTTTATAATAAACTAAGACTTAGTCTTTAGCTAAGTTAAGTATATATTTATAATATACTTAAGATATTCTTCTTTTAAACTTAACTTCTATAGATAGTAAAGCTTTAAGCTTATAAGGTGATTAAGAAACCTTTTTTACTAGTTTCTTATAATATATACTTTATAGAAAATAAGTATATACTATAAATACTGCTACTAATCTTAAGATAAGTTAAGCTTATATAAGTAATCTCTAAAGTTTAGATAGAGTAGTAGATTAGTATATATTATATATTATCTAAGTATATACTTACTTCTAGCTTATTTTCTATCTATATCTATTATAACTATATATATAATATCTACTATACTTAGATAGATATAAGCTTAATATATAAAGCTACTTAAGATAGACTTTAATAAACTAAAAACCTTTTTAAAAAGAAGGTAGTAATCTGCTCTCTTATTTATATTTATCTATATATAAGTATATAATTTAAGTACTATTAACTATTAGCTTTATATAGGGTTTATATATATAAGATATACTTTCAGCTTAATCTAATTATCTATATATCTTAAATATAGTTATATTCCCTCTTACTATCTTAAATAATATATTAATCTTAAGATATTATGCTTTTTGAAATAAAATAGCGTTTATATATATAATATAGATTATATAGAAATCTCTATTTTATATAAGTTAGACTTTATGAATTTATTACTTAAGTTTAAGCTTTATTTAGTCTAAAATAAACTCCTACTTAACTCCTATATATAGTAAGTATATATAACCTATATACTAAATAGTAATATATCTATAAATAAGTAGCTATCTAAGTATTATAGGAGCTACGCTTAATAAATAAGAATAGTAATTTTATCTTTATTATAAAGTGATATATTAATAGCTTAAAAAGAATTAACTCTAAAGTTAGTATATAGCTACTAAATACTTAAGTAGAGTAAGAGCTTACTTAGGTATATACTTAGTATATATATAGTATATTTTAAAGCTCTTTTATATATATACTATAACTAAAGTAATATTAAGCTTAGTTAAAAAGCTTAGTATAATCCTATTTACTAGCTATATTAAAAGCTAAGTAGGTAGGGGTAAGATATATATATAGGAACTTCTTAGAAGGAGGAATATAAATAGGAACCTAGCTAAGTTTTAAGGTATATAGATATTAATCTTAACTTTATAGCTATATATTTTAATCTTACTTTAGCTTTAAAGGTAGGAGAATTTTAGAATATTATTAGTATATATATAATATAAGGCAAATAAATATATACTATAAGTTCTATATAAGGTCTTAAGATTCTTAATAAATATATATTCCTAATACTTTTCTCTTCTCTTAGTAGTTTTAACTAAGCTATAAAGGTATTTAATATCTACTTAAGATTAGCTTAATAGGATAGTATAAGCAAAATACTATAGTTTAGAATAGCTTATCTTTAAGTAGCTAATATATTATACTTAGAATAAAAATATAGTTAGTATATACTTAATATAATATATATATATATTTACCCTATCTCTCTAAAATAGCTAAATTTACTGCCCTTAGTAAGTCCTCTTTTCTCTAAAGTATAATAGCTAGCTAAGCTATATATAAGGTTCTTTCTATTTTTATTACTACTTATAAGTAAAAGTAGTAAAGAAGTTATAGATATACTTAGTATATATATAGTATTATATAAAGATAAGTATAAACTCTTCTATATATTTAATAAGTTCTTCTATAATTAATTCTAAGATTTATTATATACTCTATATTTCTTAGAGCTAGCTTTAAGCTATAGAAAAGTCCTCTTTATCTTAGAGGTTATTATTTATAATTATATTAAGGTGTATAAACTTATAATACTTTATATTACTATACTAGTGAGATTAGTGTTAAACTTAGTTTAACGCTTTATTCTACCTATTTTAAAGTTAGTATACCCTTAATATAAGCTTAATATATATTAAGCTTACCTTAAGATAAAATATAGTTTTTTTAGAAGTTTACTTATAATATATATTAAGTATTAAATTATTTAGGTTAAGTTTAATATTAGCTTTTAAGCTTTAGCTTTAGCTAAATCTTTATTATTAACCTTATAGCTAATATAATAAAGAATACTTAATTCCTAAGTTTTAGGATATATTAAGGTTATAATATAATTATATAGAGCTAATACTATAACTTTCTAGCTATTACTTATAGTAATTAAGATACTTTAAAGCTTAGCTTAGTCTTATATAGCCTTAATATATCCTTAGTATATATTAAGTATAAGCTATAAATATATTATACTTTAGATAAGCTTATATTAAAATAAAGCTCTTCTTTATACCTTACTTTAAAAATAGGAATATTATTATAGTAATAGGTCTTTAAGTTAAGCTAATAGCTTAATATATATTTTAAACTACTTATTAGATTAAAGTTAACTTTATAAAAAAGGTTTAAGTTTAAAAAATTAAATAAATTAGAGATAATATTATCTTTAGTAAAATCTATCCTTTCTTTATATATAAAAGTAACTAAAAAGCTAATAAAGTTAAATATAGTTAATAGTAAGTATATAGTGAAATTATAATAAAGTTAATATTAAGATATATTTAAGTAATAATAAGTAGTAATTTAGATAATATTTAGCTTATATTTAGTTTATATTCTATATATATATACTATACTTTATAGTCTATATAAGTAGAAGAGTTCTAGATATATTATCTATTTCCTAAAAATATTAGTATATATATTATATATATTTAAAGTAAGGTTTAACTAACTTAGATAGATAGATATAAAGTACTATATAGATACTATTCTTTTTATAGTGAGGTTAGTAGATAAGTTTGTATAATATAGACTATAAGTTTTTCCGACCTTACCACACCCCCCTGGCTACTTTTTGGACCCCCTGCCCTGCACAAAACCCGCCATCACCCACGCCCGCGCCAGTGCCAATCGAAGTGTGTGAGTGTCTGCTCAGCGTGAGTGTGTGGTCACCCACGGCCCTGACTGACCAGGTCCACGGCCCACGGCCCACGGCCCACGACGACGAACGACCCACCAACAACGCCCCCCCGGGCTCCACGCCGCTTGTTGTTCGCGCTCCACTGACCGATCACCTCTCACTCTCAGTTGGCTGACTGGACGCTCTCTGGTGTCTCTGGGCCTGTCTCCGTGTCTCTCGATCTCTTCCCCAGCAGCATCCGTACCAAAAGGAATCAATCAACTCACTGCTGCATCTGCAACACTCGCTTCCCACTCGCTCAATCATCATTAGTCGAACTGCATCGGTCCCCAGTGGTCATTCACTCCGGTCCTGGCTCTCTCGGTCCCCTCTCCTTGGTTCTTGGTTCTTCTCCCCGTCGCTTTCTCGCGAACATCCAAGCAACACATCAATCAACCCACCAACAACAGCAACAACAACTCCACCCCTTTGCTCCTCTCTGGCTGCTCGTTCGTCGTTGTCGAGGGGAAACCGCGGAACCGCACCACAGCGCTCGAAAGAGACTGAGCCACGACCCACGATCGTCGTCGCCCTACAGCCAGCCAGCTTGCTTGCTTGTCCCGTTCGCCGGTACCAGCACCACCACCACCAGTATCCGTCACTACCTCATACGAATACTCTGCGTAGCCGACCTGCCAGCTCCCTTCTTCTCTTCTTTGCCATCCCGCCGCCCTTTTTTGCCTCTCTTCTGATCTACACTCCATCGCCTTACCACAAACCGACCTCACCTTACCTTGCTTCAACCCGTCTTACTTCATCACCTCGCCTTTGCCTTACCCAACAGTACATTTCCATACCTTTCCTCTCTCTTTGCGCGCGCCTTCACTTCAGCCTACATACTACCACCTTACTACCTTTGCCTTGTTGCTACCCCAGGGCCCTTAAACACACTTCCACTCCCTCCACATTCCATCCCTCGAATTCCTTCCCACTCGCCGGATCGCCATCCTGACGCCGGGCACCGCCGCCCCCAAATTCCAATCCCATCCACCAGCAATCTGCATCCTGCAACCCACAAGCCCGCCCAGCCTCGACTCCCTAATCACCACCGCCTCGATGCAACAATAGCCTCGTCGTGCGCCCAGACACCCAACACTGCGAGCGACATCTCGCAGTCTTAACGTCATCGCACCCTTCCTGAAGATCCGACCTCCGCCTTCCTTGGACGCCGTCGAGCTGGATTCACGAGCCACCCAAACACCACGACACCAACAGACGCCCTGCCCAATATGTCTTCCTCCCTGCCCCCTGATCCGTACAAGATTTTAGGCGTCTCCAAGGATGCGCAGCTCCCCGAGATCCGATCCGCCCACCGCAAGCTGGTCCTCAAGTGCCACCCCGACAAGGTCCAGGACCCGGCCCTCAAGGCAATCAAGCAGGATGAGTTCCAGAAGGTCCAGCAGGCCTACGAGCTGCTGAGCGACGAGAACGAGCGCCTCAAGTACGACGACAACGTCAAGCTCGCCGAGCTCCGCAAGGAGATGGCGGCGGCCAAGGGCGCCAACACCTCCGCGCCCCGGGCCGCCTCCGCGAGGACCTACGACGTCAACATCCGCACCGCCGAGCCCCGAGCAGACACCTTCAAGACGACGACGTCGTCGACATACCGGTCGCCCAACAAGATGTACTCGCAGTACCCTTCGCGATCGTGGGACGAGGAGATCCACCGGTCAAGTCCCATCTTCGAGGAGCCCCGTGCGGCCCGCCGGGCTGCGAGCTACGAGAAGGACTACGGAAAGGTCTACGAGAAGACGTACGAGAAGCCGTCTCGCCAGGAAGAGGAGAGCGCCGCGGATCGCGAACGTAGACGGAGGAAGGAGGAGGAGAGGAGGATACGAGACGCAGAGAAGGAACGCCAAGAACGCAAAGACAGGGAGAGAGCTGCCAGGAAACAGGCAGAAAGAGCCGAACAGAAGGCCGCTGAGGAGAGGGAGCTTCTTCGTCGCCAGCGCAAGGCCCAAGAAAAGGCTCAGGAAAAGGCCGAGAAGGAGCGTGAAAAGGCTCGCAAGGCTGAGGCCGCGTCGAAGAAACACAGGAACGTGGGTGCTTATGTTGAAGATTTCGGTGAGGGCGAGACCTACTTCAAGGAGAAGAAATCGAGCAGCAGCAAGAAGAGGGAGGAGGAGAAGGTGCGGTCCCGCTCCATCCCGCGAGAAGTCGTGCGTGAAGAGGCCCCGCCGCCAACTCCTGCCCTCCCGACCGATGCCTCCGCCACAAAGATGGACGACAACATCCTCTTTGCTGCAGCCTACATGGACAAGTCTCGCCGCGGACCGGGACCCGGTTTGGCTCGTGCCGCGACGTACCACGAGAGCAGCCGCTTCGCTCCCCCGGTCGCAGCTCCCACGCCGCCCGCTGTGACACCCTTCGCGGCTCCCCCAGTGCCTCCCATGCCTGCCGAGGACGACGCCCGCCGCTCAAAGACGAGACGCTCATCCGATTCGAAGCGGGACAAGTCGAGCCATAAGAAGTCGCCCGCCAAGGAGCCGGCTTACAACATCGTGGAAGCCTCCCCGACTACCCGCATGCCCCAATATGCTTCTACGCACTCATCGCCCATGGCCGGCGGCTCACCCCCCAAGGTCACCAGGGCCACCACCTTCGACACTGGTGGCTACAGCCGCCCGATTCCTGGCCTGCAGAGGGCTCAGACTTTCCACCCCGGCGCCGACGATTCGCGCGGCCGCCACCGCTCGAGGATGCAATCGCAGACCGTCAGCGAAGACTCGGAATCCGAGGACGAGCCGCGACACTCCCGCAGGAGTCACCGCAAGATCGTCGACGACGCCGTCCCCATCGACTACAACGCCGGCCGCTCAACCCGCTACACCGTCAACGCCGGGCGTGCTGTCCCAGTCGAATCGAAGTCGTCGCACTACTACCGCGATGAGTCTCCGCCTCGCTCCAGGCCATACTACGTCGAGCGCCCTTCGATGGACCGGGGTTCGAGTGGCTACTCGGGCTTCGACAGCGTCAAGACCTCTGCTCCCTACAACGTCACTTACAGTGACATCCCTCGCAGAGCTCGTGACCCCCATTACGAGTATGCTGGATACGCCTAGGAAAGATAGCAGTTGGCAGGGTTGCCACCGTCTCTCCCACACGCCGCCGTCTCCGCGAGGAGAGAGCCGATCGCGCAGGAATGCGTCCAGATCAGCCCTCCCGCGTGTCCCGCGACGCGGTTCACTTTTTAACAACCATTTTCGGTCCATTTCTTCGTCCGTTTTCCAATCTGGGTTCTTTTTCTCTGGTTCCGTGCTGGTATGAGGGGACGACAAACAAAGATTCTAAACACATACAGTAACGAGTTACCGACATGTCTTACTTTTTTCTGATATCAAATCTTCGGGAGGGCTGTTGAAAGAAAGGCCCAAATATTATGGCGCTTGGGAGGGGGGATGGCATATGAGGGAATATGAAAGGCCGCATGGATACATCGGTCGTTGATTGGCATTTATTGGAGCGAGACGTGCTTTGGGCGGGTGGGCGGTTGCCTGGTGGAGGTCGTGTCACGACGTGGTCTGCGGGGAGCGGAGTCGAGTGGCCGTGTCGGGTTGTCGTGCGTGGCTTTGCGGCCCGCGAGGCAGCCCAGGGCTCTCTCTTACCGAGGGACTCACACCCGTGACCATGACCGCGACGAAAACCGCCGACGACCGCTCAGCCGGGCCTTTATGCAACGGGGACTTTGTTTTGGGATAGTCCTGGGTTTCTCACAGAGGTTGTTGTACGCTGGAGTCTGACGATACACACACACATCCATCACATCATATCACATCACACATCACACACATACATGCATGCATTGGGAAGGCGATTATTTTTTCTTATGAGCTGCGCGTTTTATCCTATCTTATGACAGGGGCTATCTATCTTGCCTCAATTAACGAAACCAAAGATATCGAACTTTTTTATCTACAACTGTGTCTTTTTGGTCGCCGTCATTCGCTTATGGAGTTGACTTTGGAAGGGGAAAGATACCACACTCATTTTCGGGGAAGTTGCGAGGACAGTGAGGGGATGGATATAGAGATGGGGGCTAGAAATAGGGAGAGGAGGGATGGTTTACACAGGGCATGAGGCAAAGATATGTTGCCTGGTTGGTTATAAGAGGGATCAAGGGGGGAGAGCCTGGTCTCGGTTTAGCTAGAATGTCAATGGACGTTTCTTGCACTTATGTGTGGTGAGAGTGAAGTTTGTGAGGTTGTGTGTGAATGTGAGGTGATGAGGGTGATGGTTTGCCTGGAGATTTCCCGGGCGAGTGCTTTAAGGGTTGGAAATGTTGGACATGGCCGGATAGGGGATGGCGAGGGTGTTGCTTGTGACATAAGGTGGATGGAATGGTTGAAGAACGGTAAATGATTCGGGTGAAGTTTTGGTATATAAGACGGAGGCGCTTGAGTGGAATGTTTCTCTGCAGCAATCATAGAGGTAGCGATAACGGGGCCGGGGCTGGGTCAAAGGGATTGTGGCCGGGTTGTTCTTCTGGTATGTTGCTTTGAAAAGATCAAGTTGGGGAGCAGAGACGGGGTCCAAGGGTGTGCGTTGGGTGAGAATAGACGGCAAGTAGAGGAGAAAACTGACGAGCTTTTGGAGGCGGTGAATTGCGGTAGGGGAGTTGGGTGTTTGTATGGTTGGTGAGGGTTTCAGTGTCATACATGGCGTCTGCGATGGAAAGCTGGGTAGGCCAATATAGACATAGGGTCAACTCCATTAAGCGGCATTAGGATTTGTCGGGAAGGGGCTTTTATATCATTACAAACTGTGTTAGGAGGATGGACGATAGATGTGTTATTTTGGTATTGCGGATGCTTTGGTTTGGGCGGCGAGTTGGGGATATATAAGAGGCCTTGATGTAGAAGAGAAGAGATTGCCAAAGCAATCGCAGCATTTCTCTAATCGTTGCAGGGGGGGTTGAGTTACCCTGGGCAGGATCTGACCACGAATGGTTAGGCAAATGCGAGCTTTTTCAGGTGTAGGTGAGTCTTGATGGTAAAGTTTGTTTATTCGAGAGAACGGGCCGGGCAATCAAAAGAAGGGGATGATGGACGATGGCGAAAGTTTCGAAGTTTGTGTTTTGCGTTATGCGAATGGCAGATGCATTGGTAAAGACTTCGAGCGGTATGGAAGTAACAAGATGGAAGGGAAATGCTTGAACATCGAATGAATGAAGAAGAGGATTTCTCTGTGTCGGCTGTTGCGCTCCTCAGTGCGCAATTTGTGTGGCTTTTGTATCTAAAGCATCCTAGGTGAGCTTTTCGTGATATCTACCTGACAGAAGGTTGCTAGGTCGCAGTTGGCATGTCTAGGTGATACATTGTATAAAGGGAGATGAGGGAGGCGAGGTTCAATTTGCAAACGAATCAAGCAATGCCACATGCCGATGATATGCTTGAGAAGTGGAGGCAGGTATTCTAATGAGCCGAAAGGGGACAGTTTGTGGCTCAAGCAGAGCTGCGGAGAAGGAGTCATCTTTGACGTCCGAAGAGGATTCGTGATAGAGATGCCCAGGAGAGGGGAGATGGCAAATGAAAAGACTCGGGGATGTGTTTGGGTTGAAAGTTTGTTCTGTGCTTGCGAGACGACGGGGTCGAGGCTGTGAGTCTCACTTATTTCTCACCCAGACTCTTGGGATTCTTTTCACCATTGCGACTGTCGAGCGCGATGCTCGACCGCCTTCTCGGGATTGAATCCCATGCTTTGGTTATGTACTATCCAGGGGCATGTAAGCCATGATGCAAAGTTAGCCTCGCTCGGATGGACACACGAACTGGTATAAAGGTTTGGAGTAGGCGTCATCATAGGTTTGAGAGAGCCAGAATTGATCCATTTTGAAGGGATCAACTAATTAAGTTTGCGATTGTCGGTCCACACGATGGCATGAGCGCGAGTACTGATTATCAATATGAGGGCTGTCTGGGACCCACGTTAGTTCGACGTGAGGACCGTTGGTCTCGGTATCCCTCATTGCCGCCTTGGTATTCCCAGAGGAATAAGTCATCGAAGGAAGGAGATATGGCACGCGAAAGCATAAAGAAGTTTTCGCTGATTGCTCTGAGAAAAGAGTGTCTTCTTCACAGCGTCACTCGCGTTGAGGCATCCAACTTCCCAAATGGCTCGGTGATCAGATGGGAATAGCATCGGTTGCTTCGTTAATGAAAACCGTTCTTCGTGGCTGATTTATAAGGCTTTTCCAAGGCTTTACCAATGACTGGATTAGTGATGTTTGTGGAGCATTGAAACCCTTTCGGCTACTCCATGGAGGTTTTATGGGAGTAATAGCCGCAGCGTTTCCTGATCCTACTTCGTTGGCTGAAGAGTGACTTTTACCGCGCCTTGGTCTTCGTACCGCAGCTCCAGATGTCGTATTCATGTTTTCGTTGAGATGTCTCCAGCGATGGCCTGGAACGATTATGCTAGAATAACTCATGAGAAGGAGAGAAGGACGGCAAGGAGAATGGCGGGAATGATTGTACTGTTCTCGTGCGGTGAGTGATATGGCCGATCACCGATCAGCACGGCTTGTGAGCCTTACTTGCACTTTTCGTTTTGAGGATTAACGCCGAATAAGTGGCACGATATATTGCACAGAAGGATTTCTGTCTACTAGACCTAAGCATCCCTTTTATATCGCTTTCTGCAGTTGAGTCTGGACTCACAGGGTTGCTGCAGTAGACAAATAAATGCACAAGTTGTGGTAGGTCATACCCCCTGATGTACCTTTAAAACACCCGAGACAAGCAATGCGAACCGTGGATAAGCATCTCTCTGCTATACGAGACAAATTTCGGACTTGATACTGTCTTGGAGAAGAGATGAGACAAGGCTCTCAGATGCTTATAAGAAACGAATTGTGAACCGCTGAATATGCGAGGGACGAGAGAAAATGATGGACTCCGAAGGGAGGGATTTTTATAAAGCTCTCCAATGCATTAGCATGGTGAGTGAGGAGTACATAGAGAGGTCACTCTTCGGAGGTGGAAATCGATCTGTACGTGAGATAGAAGAACCATTCACCGTCCATTCTTGCCTAGGGGGAGGGGAACCAGGATTAGTTATTTGATTTTATAGCCGTCGTGTGATGACTGCGCCCAATGGAGAATATTTCAGACCTTAGACCCTACGGTGAGATGCCAAGCCATGCTGAAATGCGGTATCAGTTCGCCTCGGCGTGTACTTGTGTGAGCTAGTAGGAATTGCTGCGTGTTGTGTTAGTGTTGATGATGCTAGTTGAGGAAGGATGGATCGGAAAAGACACATAAGAGAGAACGCCTGCGTTGAGAGACGAGAGGTTGGCGTGGCAGTTGAAGCTGCGCGATCTATATTGCCTGATGGATTCTGCGTCTCAAGTAGCATCTGCCCAAGTCGCACGCCTCCTAATACCATCTTGTGTCGGTCCGGTTCTTTCTCGGGCCTTATGAGATCAAATGTGTATGCCAATATGGCACTCTCCGTCTTCCAGGCGCAACTGAGACACTCCACATTCTGAGATACCACTCGATTCATCAAACCACATCAAGCCTTGCACTATCGATGCTACTAGACTAGGGAGATCATGCTAGAGGTCGCGGCTGGGTTCTAAAGTTCATCGCCAAGATCCAATGTGCGGTGCGGAGACAGTTTCTCTTGCTTGCACAAAACACAGCCCATGTACTGTCAATGAACATGCGGTCTTGCACAAGATGCCCGAGTCAGGTCTTTTCGAGTCTATCCCCTTGTAGATAGGAATTGCCAGATTGGGACCGCTCGCCGTCGAGATGCATGGGAAGCTGAAACACAATTCAGGGGGTTGTTGGTTGTTGGTGCAAGTGTTGGTCGTTGGTGTAGGGATGTTTTATCAAGAAGCGAATCACAACGTTTATCTGGCGTTACATGGGCCACCCACACCACAGTACACGATGTAGGATGCAAGGGTGTTTAATCACTCCATTTTTCGTGCTCATACTGAGCCCCGGGAGGCTTCGCCTTTTCGGAAAGCTCAAGATCCTGCCCTTTAGTTACTTGTTCTCCGCTGCTGCCTCGCCGTTCCATTCTGTTCCAATCTTTATTGCCACACTTCAAGATCCTCCTTGTATCACAACTGGTTAGGAAGTATCGCCAGCGGCGCTCAAATTGCTCCACCAGATTTCCTACTGATGGCAGACTCAGACAGCCGCCAACTGGCCAAAGAGCTGGTACAGGAGATTGCAACGAAGTACGGATATCTCGAGGAAGAGACTCTGCAGCACGTCACCAATCCGGAGGCACGCCGCAAGATTGAAGATGCTTTTCGTAGTATTTCGGTGCTGAGCGGACTCAGCATTATCACGCATGTACCTTTCACTCCAAATTTTGACCTCAAGCTAACATAATCCATAGTTTAGCCAAAAATCTGTACTCGAGCAAGACCCGATTCATATTTGAGCTCCTCCAGAACGCCGACGACAATCAATACAATAGAGCTTCAGCATCAGGCTCCGTTCCATTTGTCTCCTTCCGCATTTTCCCCAGTCAGATTGTCATCGAATGCAATGAGGATGGTTTCACCCACGAAAATATAAAAGCGATTTGCTCGGTCGGAGAAAGCTCGAAAACAGGAGCCCAGGGCTATATTGGCGAAAAGGGCATCGGGTTCAAATCTGTCTTCATGGTCGCGTGGAAAGCACACATCCAGTCAGAAGCCTTCTCATTCAGTTTCAGACACAAGAAGGGAGAGTCTGGGATGGGCATGATCACTCCGGTATGGGAGGAGACTGATGAAGTCTTGGAATCACCATTGACAAGAATCACTCTCCATCTCCTCAACACTGAAACCAGCAATGGGGTGGCCGAAACAAGAGAGATGATCCGGGCACATTTCGACGAGCTCCAAGAGACTGTGCTCTTGTTCTTGAAGAACATTCGAAGAATCCATGTCGTCTTTTATGACGATAACGGACAACAGATAACTTCCGTCACACATGCGCACACTGAACCCCGGCCAGGTCGGGCTAAGCTGGAAAGTGTCTGTGTCACGAATGGACAACCACAGAAGCAAATCAAGCACTTTCACGTCACGCGCGTGAAGGCGACGAACCTCGAGAAAAACGACAACAGAACCTACACGGAGGCAGAAGAGGCAGCCAAGGCTTACTCTGTTTCGGAAGTAGTGGTCGCATTCCCGCTTTCAGAGGCATCAGTTCCTATTCTTGAACCCCAAGACGTTTTTGCCTTCCTCCCGGTGAGGCCAGCTGGGTTCAACTTCATAATCCAAGCCGACTTTGTCACCAATGCAAATCGACAAGACATTTTGAAAGATTCTCTCCGTAATCTCCTTCTGCTCCATGCTGTTGGCGAAGCAGTTGTTACCGCCGCTGTCGAGTTTCAGGCACATGATACACTGCGATATCGATGGGTTGGGTTTCTACCAGATCGGAGCCGCATTTGGGATAGTTTTTGGATTACCTTGCTTTGGGAGATTGATGTGCGTCTGGCATTGAAGCCTGTGTTTTATGATCACAAAAGCTTCGTTCCCAGAAAAGTAAATGATCTCGTCCGTCTGTTGCCTGTATGCGCCGACGAGCACGGAAACCCACTGTTCGACGACGGCAATCCAGCACAGGTCATTTCACGACAATACAGCCGAGCTGATCTTCGCCTCCTCGAAGGTTACGGACTGAGAAAAGTAGATTATCCGCGAGCCCTTGAATGGCTAACAGCAGATTTGAGAAATGCGAAGTCATCTCGAATGAAGTCGCTAGATACCTCGAAGAGCTGGCACGAACGAGCAGCGAAGTTGCTGAATGCAGCTTTTGTCGGCAAGATGCATCGAACCACTGCTTGCCTTATTAAGTTAGACTTGATTCCTCTTGCGGATGGAACGTGGGCATCTACTTCTTCGGGGCCAATTTATTTCGCCCAGGCCGATGGCTTGAACGTCCCCCCTGACGTCGGGCTGAGAGTTGTTTCGAGGACAGTGACGGATCGCCAGAGGATTCTGCTTTTTGAGTTCTTGGGTGTCACTACTGCTGAAACACAACTAGTGCGTCGGCATATTCTGCAGGTTTATGAGAGAGGCACGCGACCAGAATTCACCATTGAGGCCTCCAAGGACCATCTCAAGTTCCTCTATATGACTGAGAATCTGGCTTTAAAAAATGATCCATACGAGTTCATAGCTATCTTCAACCATCTTGGCGAGTGTCAGAGGCCAAACCAGCAGGCTATGTACTTGGCGAACAATGACCCCCACGGCGCTATGGAAGTTTTCAAACCGACAAGTCCGGGCCCAAACCCCGGAGACGGCGCACTCGGTTACAATGTTGTTTTCGTCAACAGAGAGTACTTTGAGGACGAACCGTCAGCTCCAAAGGGCCAGAAGGGGTCGTGGCGTGCCTGGTTTAGCGAAAGACTTGGGGTCAGGGCATACATTGACATCCAGATGATCTCCAGCCTATTTTCCTCGGTCATTCATCTGTCAGATGAATCGCGGTACATTCAATTGAGCAGACCAGACAAGTTCATGGCTTGTGTTGTTCAGTGGTATAACCACTCGCCATCCCTGCAACTTAAGGAGGGCGAAATTCGCTGCCTCCAGTCTTCGACGGCTATGTGTCGAGGCGGCAAGCGTATGGTGCCTCTTAGAGAAACTTACTTTCCAACTCAGAGACTGACAGAACGCGTGGCACGTTTCATCGGCCCGGACGCCTTTTTCCCTTGGCTATGGCTTGAAAACCAGGAAGTCTTCGAGGCTATCCCGCCGGAATGGAAGACTCTGCTATCAAAGCTCTCTGTGGGGCAGCCCGTCAACGATCTGGGGTTTTCTCTGGTCATACTCAATCGTTTTATAGATGCTTACGCAGATTCTATGGACGCCACAAGGATTAGCCGATTATTTGAATTGTATCAACACATCCACATCCAGTATCAGGAAAGTGACAATCGAGTCGCTGCTGCAGAGATAATCAGGTGCGTTTCACGCGAATTCGATTCAAAGAAGACTCTAACGGCTGCAGGAATGCGTTTCAAACAAGGAGATGCATCTTCGTTCCACGGGATGAGCATCACAAATGGGCTCTGCCAGACGAATGTATCTGGACGGCACCGCATGACACGAGGACTAAATTCGCTCTGGAGCGGCTTTACCAACCTTGGTTCAGGACGAACGGCACGAATAACAACTCCACCTATCTGAACCTGTTCAGAAGCATGATCGGCATCGAGGATTGCACATGGGCAATTTTGATCGAGGAGCTGAAGGAGCTCAAGGCCTCGAGATGCGACGACACAGACCAAATCGGGACGATTTACAAAGCTTTGAATGCTTTGTGCCGTGACCCTTCGGTGGTTCAAAATGATCAGTCAAAGTATGTTTTCCTACGTGTTGAGATTGCTCTCTGCAGGGCGACTGACATTCTACTCTAGGTCGATTTTCGAGGACGAAGCTCTGATACACCTCCCAGTAGACAGTGGGCCATCATGGCATAGACCATCTGAGTGTCTGTGGTCAAATTCAACGAAGTTGAGCGGAAGAGTCTCCCTCAACGAAGAATTCGAAGATCTGGAGGTTTTCTTCATCGACTTCCTGGGTGTCAAACCACTGGATCTCTCGATGGCCATCGACGACTTAAAAAACGTGGCAACGAGGGCGTCGGCAACGTCTTCAGAAATCAAGGATTTGATATGGGCCGTCAACTCCTTACTTCCCGCCGTGCAAAAGCCTCCAAGCCCTCGAGATGTATTGAAGACTAAGATCTTCCCCATCGCGTACCCCAACGGCAGAGTCACGGTTAGAACTGCAACAACTGGATTTTGCATCATCGACCGCGAATCTCTGAAATACTCATTCAGAAACAAGGTGAATTTTCTCGACTTCACACTCGAACAAGTTGCTCGATTGCGTCCGTTTCTTGAATGGACGCACTTGGAGGATAGATATCTTTCGCGTTGCGTCAAGGAGATTACCTCCTTCCATGGCGGACCAGCAACTCCGATGACAAATCCGCAGCGACAAATTCGAAATCGGGCCCATGAGCTTCTCAGGTAAGTTGTGGAATGCACTGTCAGGTCGTCCGGGCGCATACTGATTCAATGGAAAAGAGTTGCGGCACACTTCGACAGCCCTCGTTCACAAAACAGTCGAGACATGAACTCCCTTTACGATATTCTACGGTCAGCACGAATTTATGAAACTGATGGAATCTCTTCAGATCTGTGTCTCGTGCAAGGCGAGACTTCTTTTACGGTCGAGGGAGAAAAGTCAAGCCTGCACATTGATGAAACTCAATCTGGTCTCAAGATATATGTGCCACGAAACAGAGATCATCAGGAGTATATGTTCACCAACCTTTTGCCAGACAAGCTTCTCGACTGTATGATGAGAGACCCTGTGACGCAAGTGTCTCAAAATATCACAAACAGCGCCATGAATGCTACAAAAAACATCCTTTTGGCACCGCTTGCAATGCTCGATCGAGCCCTTGAGGACAATGGCATAGCAGAAGTCCAAATTACGAAAGTTAACGATATTGTAGCCCTGGAAATGGCTTCTTCAGCAACAGCAGTATCAGTCGCAGATACGAGAACAGACAACAACGCTAATGGTCGGGGCGGGAGCGAGGCGGAGAATGCGGAAATACGCATGGCTTTTGCGTCCAGTTCCTCAACCAACCAACATGCTGTAGTCAACGCAACAGTCCATCGCTCGATGTCTGCACAGAGTTCGGCCTGGTCATCCAACACCACCTCACAAAGTTCATGGACTCCCTCACCTGGGAGTTCTCGGAATGACGCCAGTAGCCAAGCTCCCTACACTGCACTTTTGAGCAAGGTGATCGCCGCAGGCCAAAGACCAAGGGCAAGTGCATTGCCGTCATGCGGAGCCTTTTACCTTAGTCAACTATACACAGATCTTCAGCCCACTAGAGACGACGCAGAATTCGGATTGCGCTCGGCGAGTCAGATAGAAAGAGACTGCAAGATTGGCGCAGCGGGAGAGCTCTATGTAAGTTTTCACCCTGGATTCTGACTGTATTAGATGACTTAATAGCCCGTACCAGGTCTTTGAGTTGCTTTCTCACCTATCGGACGAAAATATGCCCTTACCCCCACTGCCTGAGTTCTCCAGAGACAACTGGCAAAGTAACATCCGCAGATACGTGACAGTGCATCCAGACTACGCGTTGATGGAACCTTGGAGCGGTCGAGAGACCTCCGACATAGTGTACGAAGACGTCAGTAAGCAGCTGACGTCCCTGTTCGTTCGCCAAGGCTACCTCGAGACCCGGTGGCTCTCGCGACCTCGTGGCCCCAAGTACTTCATAGAAGTCAAGACGACAACCATGTCTTGCGAAACAGCGTTTTACATGAGCAAAGCCCAGTATCAAAGAGTAAGTCTCCAGAACAAACTTGAGTGCTCGCATCAGCCCAAAACAAGCTTCTAATATTGGATGCCAAAGATGAGAAACAATCTTGTTACAGACGATAGCGACACAGTGTATGTCATTTTCCGGGTTTACAATCTCGGGCAAAAGGACATAGGTCTTAAGGTCTATGTTGACCCAGAGACACTGAGGCTGGCTGGACGTTTGAAATTCACAGGAGAGACATGGTCAGTTGTTCCTGGCTAAGCTTGACTTGCATTCACGAGTCACTTTCCTGTCGTTCTTGAGCAAGACGGAAAGAGAACGAACTCCAGTCTAGGGATGAGATGCTGTCGTCGATTCCCAACTAGATGAATCATGCACATGTGGGAAAGTTTACACTCCGAGTGAACGAGGCAGCGTCGGGATGTCGAATTATTAAGGGCTGGCGCTGGGCCGGTGGATCGGCATGGCAGATGCCACCGGGTCACCGGGATGGTCAGGAAGACGCCGCGGGAAAAGGTGGTGAGCCGGAGACTTTTGAAAATCACCAGGGATCTACAACCCATTCACTTGGTCAAAGTGTCGTGGCATGCCAAGTTCAGGACAGGCCTTGAGACGATTCCCATACTTTTTAAAGTTTTTCGAACCGCGTGGCTCGTCGCATTTCGATTAATACCGATCTAGTCCAGTCTTTGTTCCGACGTTGGGGCGAGAATTTCCGTAAACCTACCACTACTGACATCCCATCGGGTGCCGGCCGTATGGTAACGATGGGCGCCCGGTGGGATACTTTGCAACGTTTTGCATCAGATAGACGGAGTGATTCAGATGGCTTGTACCAGCTTGGTGGTAAAGCTATTCAGCGAATTATCTTGTGATGTTGTCGACACTGAATCAGAGATGGCGTTTGGTCGAAATATTTAAAGGCCGGTCTCGTCTTCTCTCAGCCACGGAACTACCTTAGATCACCATCGCAACATTTTCAGTCACTTCCCGCTCTTCACTCTCTTTAAAGCATCGATACTAGGGTTCCTTAAGAAAAACAATCAAAACTCGTAAGTGCTTCCTTCGCGCTCGCAATACACTAGCCTTACCTAAGGTTAATAAGACTCAGCCCAGCGAAACCTTGAAAATGCACATCTCCCGTCTTATAATTGCCGCGGTTGCGGCGTTCGTCGGACCTGTTCTCGTATCAGCCAAATGCAAAGCATTCCAAAACGGGGCTGTCTGCTCACAGCCGTTCTTCAACATCTGCGGAGGCGAAGGAACTTCGACCTTGACATGCTGTACCACACTGGACTGTAAATAGTGGGACCGAGTGTCAAGGGTCAGTTGTGGCAGTTCGAGATCAAACCCTGTGCTGAGTATTGTGCGCCTTGATATGGTTGCTTGAGTTGGCAAGCTGAGCATTGCCGTCTGTGTATACCAGCAAAAGCGATGTGTAGAAGCAAAAGCAGGTCTTTCATCCTCAGAGTAATATAAATATCTTGTAGCAAATTAAGTCTCAAGGCCACAATTTAAACCCCGCATATTCTGATTGCGCTAAAAATCAATTGATACGATAAGCATGAGCGACAAACTAAATCTCGTTTAATATTCAATATTCTTTTCAGAAATTTTCAAAATATACCTCACTTTTTTCTCGCTGGGACTTTATCTCTCAGAAAACGACGTTGATACGGGAAAGACTATTCCTTAGCTTCTACAAATTTGCCATTCTATTTTCTCTTCCCATTATATAGCTGCCAGAAATCAAAGTTTCATATCGCTCGCTGCGGTGGAAGTCTTACATGTTTAATACTCAACACTCAAACGGGCAGTATATATGCTTTTTCTTTAGTGTAAGGAAATTAGGCGCAAATGTTTTGAAGTTGGAATTTGTAGCCTGATATTCTGGAAACAGAGAGACTCACAGCAAAGGTTGAAATTCGGAAAGGATTGGGACGAAATTTTCGTGAGAGGCAAGTCGAATAATGCCCTCCAATCAACACATGTCGGTAGTTACGAGAGATAGACTCTACCTTACCTACATTGGGTTTCACCATTTCTAAGCCGACTGATTTGGGTTTAAAAAAACGATGTCGAAGCAGTTGAGAGACCAATAAAAGGCATAGATGGAAGTCCCATTTTCATTTGACCCTCGTATTTCGGCGTATGACCCAGAGTCGTAAAGATGCCCACGTGCGCGGAAATTCTCATCAGCATAGAGACTTCGCAACTGCGCAATGTCGAGAATCATTCATACCCACACAGTTTACAATTTCACAGTAGAAAAAAGCAGTAATAGCATCACGGCCATCGCAACTGCGTAATAATATTTGATTTGGGTGGCTGATGCGGCATAGGTAAAGGCAACGAGACATAGCCCCAGTCACGAGTGGGCTCAGTAAATGCGCCTCTTACGTGGGAGCGTCACTATTGATGGATACTCTTTAGAGGTCTATTCGGCCTTGTCCTTGGCACATGTGGTCAGCAATGTGCACATTCGTACCCGGAAATCTGGTTGGACGTTGGTTCGCGGGCCTTTTCAGCAAGCATCCCATTCCTCCCACTTAAGCATGAAAAGACCAAGCAAGCATGCGCCCCCCACGCCGGGGTGCTACTTGGCACTGAAATTTGGATGTCATTTGAAACTTTAAATTACATAGCAAAAGCAAACTAAACACGGTCAAGAGTCACCGCACTCGTTCTCGTCGTCGGCAAGTCGCGGGCCAGAACAGCAACGGTTTAAGGCTGCCAACGGTTAAGGTACCCGACTTGGCAAGCTGACGTGCCCGCGTCATCTTTTATGGGGACAGAGCCTCAATCTTATTTCCAGCACTCATCCCATGACGGGTTTATGTCCCAGTTTGACTCACTGTTCCGGGTGTCTTACCCGCTCACAGAAATGTTCGCGGGTCGAACGATTTTTGGGGGCTAAAGGCTGCGAATAGGGGCGAACGAAATCACTCCCTTCACAACGTCGGCCAACTCCGGCCGTCACCGTCTGTCTTACCCTCCACAAACTTCAAGTCCAAAAATGCAGGCATCCAAGTTTTCGGTATTTACTGGCGTACTTTCGGACCCAGACGCTCGGGAAATGGCCCCCAAAACCACCGCATCGGTGAGTGCTCCCGACAGTATGGAAAGGCCGCACCTCACACATCCCAGGCAGGCCACATGAACAACGCTTATTGCCGGGTAAAGCACTCGATGCCTTGCGGTTCGCGGCGCCAATGGGAAATCTTTGTCGGCACACTATTGCTGTGTCGGTTTTGAAAGTCGCTGTGTGGTACTAATTGGAATTGCTGCCTTGGAAGTTGGCCCGGGGAGGAGGAGGAGGCCAATATGTCGACCGGTTCGCATGAGTACGGCGAAGCACGGCGGTGGAAAACTCGATAAAGGGAAGTTTCTCTATTTAAACTGCATCTTTTCGAAGGATTCAGGATGGAGAGACACCATCAGGCATCACTTTCTTCCCTCGCTAGACATCTTACTTCCCTTTTCAGAACACATTCTTACTTTGACCACCGTCATGAGGCTCGAAGTCGCTAAGAGGTTCGAGCAAGTCGGCTCAGTACTTGTCCATGATCTCCAGCGCATTCTGGAGATGGACGCTGGGTATGGCCACAGCACTCCCTTCAGTCAGACCGTCTCCCAGGACAAGCTCTTCGCCATCGAATCCAAGATGGCCATCATCATCCTCTGCATGAACGAAAAGCCCAACGTCATTGACGACCTCTTCGCCGGCATCCCTCACGGCTGCACAATCATATTCGTCTCCAACAGCAGCCGAGGAGAACACGGCGGAGTCGACAATTACAGGACTGAAGTCAGTCTTTTGAAGAACTTCTGCCGCCTGACAGGACGCCAGGCCATCGCCATCCACCAGAAAGACCCAGTCGCCGCGGAAGCATTCGAAGCCGCAGGCGCACCCGACCTCATCGACCCAGACACTGCCATCCCAACAATCCGCAACGGAAAGGGTGAGGGAATGCTCATGGGCATGACCCTCGCCGCCGTGCAGGGCTGCGAGTACCTCGGCTTCATCGACGCCGACAACTACATCCCCGGCTCCGCCTTCGAGTACTGCAAGTCCTTCGCCTCGGGGCTCTACCTCGCCCAGTCGCAGGACGCCATGGTGCGCATATCGTGGGGCTCGAAGCCCAAGTACCGCGACAACGAATGGGTGTTCGAACGCAGAGGGCGCTGCTCCGAAGTCGTCAACGGCTGGTTGAACCGGCTCCTCGAGGAGATCTACAGGGAAACCGGCAGTGAAAGCACGTACACCAACATCATCGAGACCGGCAACGCGGGTGAGCACGCGATGACCATGGCGCTGGCCACGAAGATGGAGATGGCCGGTGGCTTCGCCGTCGAGCCGTACGAGTACATCTTCCTTCTGGAGCAGATGGGGAAGAGCGGCGATGCGAAAGCCGCGGCCGCGAGTCTGGTGCACATCCACCAACACATGACTCGCAACCCGCACTTGCACGACAACAAGGGCACTGGCCACGTGGGGGATATGCAGTCCCAGGGGCTGAACGTGATCTACCACTCGCCGCTTACTCCGGAGGGGATGAAGAAGGACTTGCTGGAGGAGATGGTCGAGAAGGGGTTGCTGCAACAGGGAGAGACGCCGAGGAAGGAGAGGGTGTATCCGGCAATCAAGGATTTGGACTTGAGGAAGCTTGACGAAGTGTTTGAAAACGCGAAAAGGCTTCAGATAAGCACAGAACAACCACTGAGGAAGGCCTGGCTTTGATTTTCTTTTTCAACTTTTGCTTGGTAGAGTTGCACAGCATACCGGATGCCGGCTTGTCTTTCTTATGTTATCATGCCCCAAATAGATTACCGCCCTCAGGGGAGTTTGCTTTTATCTTTCTAGCATTTTGCAAGCTAGATGTTTCTTTTCTAGATAGATGGCGATTACAATTGAACACAGCACTTATGTCTTTTCTAGCACCTACCAATATTCGTTTATGATGTGTTGTTGCCTTAAATGTGGATATATTCCTCCCGAATCCCTAATACCGTAGATGGTGCTGACGCGGAGAACACAACGCTTCTCGACAAATGTATCGTACGGCATTACAGGAGATTAGAGAAGTCCGTTGATTACTATTCTATGTCCTATTCAGCGGGGCAGAGCTATCAGTCCACGACTTCGCCCAAATTGTGTATCCACCGACTCATGTGAGCAGGAAGCACGTACCTATGCCATGGGCCCCGAGCTCGCTTTCGTTCTGGCGAACGACTCATGATCATGACCCGTAGTTCCCACGCAGTATGACGATCTAAACCGATTGCGAGCGGTCAAATATGCTGCTACATCATGCTCGCAATTCCTGACCTTGTCCTCTCTTTTAACCACCGTCACTCTTTTTCCGGCGACTAAACAACAACATCACTCGTTCTACACATCTCACACTTACCATCCCGCTCATTCCAACCGTTTGTCACACTAAGAAAACCACAGACAACATCAACTAACACCTCTACAGACAAAATGAAGTTCTCAGCCGCCATCCCCACTATCTTCCTGGCCGCCGGCGCCCTCGCGGACTGCAACGTCGCCCTCAAGAACGACTTCGACGTGCAGGTCGGCAGCGGGTGCATCTCCAAGACCGACGGCGGCTACATCCTGGCCTCGGGCAAGAACTTCTTCGTCCAGGTGACGGATTCGTGCGGCATCGACGTGCTGTACCTCCCCAACACCTGGAGCGCGCAGTCCCTGGGACCTTGCTGAGTAGGTCTATTTGAGAGACGGAAAAAGGAGATGGAGGGGCCGAGGGATCGGTTAAAGGGGAGTTGGTCGTGACGAGTTGGGGTTTGGAGAGCTTTAGGGCAGGAGACGGCATTCGAAAGTGAGCAAGTTGCTCAGAACGGATCATGGCCCCCGTGGTCTGAGTCACAAACGGATAGAGGGAAATGGAGGGAAACTCCGACAGCAAAGATACCACCTTAGGCGCGCAAAGACAGCCCGTCGTCCCCATCTTTCTCGTCGTCCTCGTTATCCTGCCATCTCCACCGTCCTCATCGCCTTCGTCATCTGTTATCATCATCCTGTTAGAACTAACAACTCGCCGCTAATCAGCACTGGGGTCGTCCTTCGTCGTGACATAGAGGGCTCTGGGATCGTACTCTGATCATCAGCCAAAGGCATCTAACGATAACGCAGAGATGCTTGATACTATCCCTTAGTCTAGGTCTACTTAAGCAATCCTAGGGCCTTGTTACCTTCACCACCATCACGAGTCTGCCTCACCATCCCAGACCTACTCCTCCTCCCACACAGGTAAATCCAAATCCACAACAATGGGCTTATTCACCGTCTTCCCCCCAACATGCGGCCAACTCTTCGCCATAATAGCACAATTCACCACACACGTCTCCCGCCTACCCAGTCTTCCCACCAACGCCTCCCGATCAGCCCTCACACTCGCCGGATCTCCCCCCAATCCTCTCACATCCAACCCCGCAACCTCCGTCTTCACACTCACATCCTTTACCATCACCGACCCATCATTCTCCAACGCCCGTCCGCCTTTCGCCGTCAGATCGACGAGCGACTGCTTCCCCCCAACCCCAGGATCCTCCCACCCGGCGACTCCGTCCTCCTTGAACGCCGTGTTCGCACACCCAAGGTCCCAAGCCACCCTCTCAACCCCCCTTGCCTCGTGGACATGCCCGCAAACCGCCAGCCTCGGGCGCACGCGCCAGAGCGCCCGGCGGAGGGCCTCACATCCCGTCGCGCGGCGGAGGCGGGACTCGTCGCGGTGCGTGCGCGGCGGTGTGTGCGTGACGACGACGTCTGCGTCGAGGGGGATGTCGTCCCAGAGCGCGGTGAGGTCCGCCGCCGTCAGGGTAGTCTGACTCTGTGGCGGGGTGTCGTAGGAGAAGGCCCAGAGGCCGTTGCGCGGGGAGTACGGGGAGCCGAAGACGGAGAAGGAGGTGCGCGGGCCGGAGGGGGAGGTGAGGGTGATTCTGGCGGAGGCGTGGTTGAGGTAGGTTATGCTGGGGGAGGAGGTCAGGAGGGCGAGGCAGTCGGAGGGGGACTGCGGTGCTTGGTTGTGGAAATGGGGGCCGTGGAGGGCGTAGAAGGGGGCGTCGAGGGTGAGGTCGTGGTTTCCTGCGATGACGATCTTGGCTTCGAAGGGGGCCTTTTCGAGCCAGGCTACTGCTCGTGATAGCTATTGTGATGTTAGTTGGGGGCCACAAGAAAACAAATCAAGTGGTTATGGTGATTGCAGGAAGTAAGCTCGGTGTTGTTTATTTACACACTACCGCGAAGATCCCAGACGAGAACGCAGCTTCAGCCTCTGCGCGAACGAAGTGGCGCTCCCACACAGTTCCCGGCGGATGGGAGTTTACACATTGGAAGGCACGAAGAGCAGGGAAAGTCCCATGACGGAGGCCGCCGCAGCACGTACCTCTGAGAAGCTGCCTTGGTTCGTCAGGTCCCCCGCGTGGATCAGCACGTCGCCCTTGGGCAGCTTGACGGTGGTGTTGTGGGTGTCGGAGACGCAGACGAACCGGGTCCTCCGCGTCCGGGTGGGAGGGTCTCGGTGGCGGCACCTGGTGCTGCGCGGCTGGGCCTCAGTGCCGGCGAGGGAGTCCATGGTTTTTGGATTCGGGGGTCAGGGATCGGGGGCCGGGGATGGGGCGGGATGGTCGGTGGCACGGGGGCCGGCCGGCAGGATGTTATGCGATGCTTCTTGCGGTGCTTAGGTCTTGGTTATGAATGATGTTGTGCAAACTCGGTATTGGATAGAGAATGTTGCAGGCGAAAGTAATTGTGCACGCGGACGCAGGTTTAGGGGGTTGCCTAACGAGATTGATGGACGGAGATGTTTGTGCGCGGTGCTTCACTTGAAACAGGCTGGATGCAGGTGTAATCAGAGGCCAATACGTGGATGATGGGAAAGGGCAGGCCGGCACTAATTGCTATTCGTAGGTCGGCGTTGTTTCACCGTGCGCCGGCTCTTAGGTAGGTTGTCTCTTTCCTGGGCAGAGAACCCAAGCCGTAGAGCACTTGGGCAAGCAATGTGAAGACGCAACGCAAGGCCCTCCCCTCGATGAATGTATCTTTCAAAGTGTTGTTGCCTGCCCCCGGAGCCCCCGTTCGGAAATTATAAGGCACAGGACGATCTGAATTGATCTTTTTTTCCCAACCACGGCCCACCCCTGCAAGATTTGCAGATGAGTTGGTTCTTCTAGAAGGAGGTGAGGAAGGGGGCAGGGCAGATTTGATGATGGATGGAGTCATGTATTTGCAGTGCACATGTTATGTGCGTGGTGGTTATTTTGATGGTTTGATGAGATAAGCATTCATTCGTTCGGACGGTGCGATGTCATGGGGAGGGAGGGACACCACCTGGGGACGTAGGTTGTCCGGATGTGGGGCCGGCGAAAATGTCTCCGTCATGCGAGATGCTGGCGGACCTGGAGGGGGTTTTATTGGCGGTGAGGACCCGAAGGTGAGGAACACTGTGAAGGGTCTTGCTGTTGTTTATGAGGGACAGGTGAATGACAGGAAACGGCACGAGAGGAAACACGAGGTTGGGCGGCCATTGGCTTACAAAATGGTCCGACGCAGAGACAAACGGTCTGCAGGTGACGGCACAAAAAGAAAAGAAAGCAGAGGCAGAGACAACACATGCATCTTACAAGCGCTACGTTTGCCGCGATACGAAAAGGCTGCGATGCTGTATGATGCTTCAGGTCCAAGGCTGCAAGGCCACAATATTTGGATTAGAAAATGCCGACAGCCTGGAGCCAGATGCCCAACGGGAGAAGACGAAGAAAAAGAAGAAGAAGGGAAAAAGGCACAGACCGTTGGAGTCGTTTTCCTGGGATTGATTACTGCGCAAGGAGGCGCAAATGACGAGTGCCGGGGTGCAACAGGCAGTTGCAAGGGCCCCGAGTTCGAACGAGGTCCAGACACAGTGCGCCCTTTCCAATTCTTAGCAGTAGGAGCCCACAAGAGTCAGTAGCGGGTTTGTGCAAGATGACTGTTGTGTGTGGTTTTATGCAGGATACGGCGACAGCTGGGTGAGGTGAGGTTTTCCCGTCCTTAGTGATCAACAATAAACCATCTTCCCCCAGAAACCCAAGAAAAACAAGTACCGAAGACCACGGGAGGACCATCCGAGATCGCTGACCCGACAATAATAGCTGACGTTGAATTTGGGTCCCAGGTTAGCTGGCTGGAATGGACGGGATCAGCCTGGGTGACAGATGACGATGGTGGATTGGTGCCGGCTTATCGTTTATGCTAAGCACCCATCCTTTCGTGTGTGTCCCTTTTTTTTTTTACACCGAAATCCCTTCGCGGCTGGCGGCCGTTTGACCCCCATCGTTCTTCAACGGTCCTCACCCGCTCCACAGCAATTAACGAGCGATATCCCCGACGTCGTCGATGTTGACCATTGACAACAGCTCGCTATGTTTACGTCTGCGGCTCCGTTGTGGACCGGCCACTCGCTTGAGCTTCACCTCCCATAGTGTCCCGCTCTCTCCTGGCCCGGGGCTCCTTTGGGGGCCATTGGGAATAGCATCAGTGGCTGGTTCCCCCCGTCTCCGAACGTGCAGATGGAAGGGTTAGAATGGAAAATGGAACCCGTCCGAGCGCAGTTGATGCACTGTCTTCGCTACCCGGATTTTTCTTCTTTTCTGCTCACGAAAAGAGGGAAGAAGGAAAGAAAAGGACGCTCGTTCCGTGCCTCCCGAGCATGGGGATAGGAGCAGGCGGGGTGGTGGTGACTTGGGCCTCCTGTGCCATGTCTCTTCAGTGTCTTCCCTCTCAGGCCCGGTCCCTCCTGAATCAGTGGGCATGCTGCCACGCTGCCGCCAGCGACTCATCAAAGACGCTGTGTGTCCTTCCAGCGTGGTTTGTGTGTGTCTTTGTCTGCCCGCGCTGTGATGTGCAGCGTCACAAGGCAGACAAAGGTGGGCCGTTGCACGGCTCCTACCTAGCTCTAGACTCTGTTGGAAGGAGCTTGTCTGGCGGTCCTGGCTGCCGTCATTGGCTGCGGTCGAGCTGCAGCTTGTCTTGCATCGCGCATCTGCTCTGCGGACCGCCAATTGGAGGAGTCAGAGTGCTGTCGAGAGGGCTCGAGAGGAGGAGCAAGCTGTCTGCCTTCTCCAATGACATTGAGCGACAGACAGACAGTGTCAAGTGCCAGTTGATCTGACTTGACTTGGCGTAGGTTCATTCCATCGCTTGGGTATTTTTGCTGCCGCTCGATCCCCCTCCTTTTTTTTTATTTTATTTTATTTTTTTGTGCTTCGTTTGGCCCCTCTTCTGTCTGTCTTTCGTCACCATGGAAATGCTAACCAACATTTCTGCGCTGCGGTGCCCGCCTTGTCTGCGTCGGCCAATGACAGCGGATGACGAGAAAGAGATGCAAAGTCAAAGGGATCCGAGAGGTGCAGCAGTTGGGACGAAGATTGGCAGAATGCAACTCTAGTCCCGGTTGCAGGCGCAGGTTGGGAGCATGCTCGGAGCATAAGTTATTTTAATTCCATGTGCCTGCCTGCCTGCCTGATGACTGGCTTTCGCCTCTTAAAAGTATCGCAGTAAGGAAACACTCATCACTCCTTCATCATACCCGCGAATCGGGACGGATATCAGCTGGAGCTTGGGATAATAGGGGATGAAGCAAGCAAGCAAAGCACAAATCGAGTGCCTCAATTCCTTCCTATCAGCAAGCTCGTCTCCCCGAAAAAGGGAATCCCACGCCTTGCACCTGTGGATCCGCAACCCTTGATTGGACTAGGGTCTCAGCCAACCAGCCCCTCGACTTTGGCTACGCTAGTCTTGATCGAGATAAGCCCCCCAAGAAGCGGTACGTACTCGGAGCAGCCCACCTCCTCCCCTGCTTAGCGTCTTTGCGTCCCGCACTGTGCTCGTGTGCCTGTGCGCTGCCCCCGTCCCGTCCACGTCCTCTGCCAATTCACATCCACCACCACCAACCTGCGCGTGTTGTCGTCGTCCTCGTTTCTCCTTCTCCTGGGCACTGTGGAAACGCTGAGAGCGGCCATCTTCAGAGACAAGACGACGCAGACCCAGACGCAAGACGGACGACACCACAGCGTCAACCACCGCTGCGAATGGCCTCTCGCTGAACCTGTCCCTGACTTGACCGAAAACACCTTCTTCCATTCCCACACACCACACTTCCATTCTTCACCACTCGCTCACTCTCGCTGTCTGCAGCAAGCAGCTTTCTTCGGATCGACCTGCCGCCACCTTCGTTCGTTCCCTCTTCCTCCGACCCCGTCCTCCTCCCGGCCGGCCTTCCGTCCTGACGCTATCCTGCTTTTCTTTGTTTCCATCCCAAAAAGACTTCAGCCAGGTCTTGATTGTTCTGCACCTGCTGCCTCCACCGGCACCTGCAACTGCACTTTACCTTTCCCACCATCGCGCCGCTTCGTGGCCGCCTCCTAATAAGCCGCCTCGCCGGTGAACCACCACCGCCGCCGCCGCCAGCTACCGCAAATACACCACACTCCAACCACGCTAAGCCGCCAGCCCACGACGCAATTTCAATCTCCCGCTCGCGTTTCCTCCAGCGCCATCTTTGCTTCTCTCACTATCCTTTCGAATCGCGCGCGCACGCCAGCCCCCGAAACCCTTCTCCTTGGCCGACAATTGACTCCCCATCTTCACGAGAGCTCTGCCGACGCCGACCTCCCCAACCAACACCCGCTCACGACAGTCTGGAGATTGCTGGGCCTCCAGCTCTCCAGACGACGCGATGGCCGCCATGTCTGCCGCGTCAGCGACCGCGAACACCATCACGCCGCCCAGCAGCAGCCATGGCAACGGAAACCAAAACTCCTGGGAAACCACAGAGGTAGGTGCTGTGCAGAAGAGGGCAAACAATCGCCCACGGATTTCGCAGCGGCATGCCGGCGCAGACGCTGACCATCTGTCGTAGAACCCTCAGGATAAGAAATCCGCAAGGTCCGACTCGAACAGGCCGCCCCTTTCGCAAAACGGCAACTCGGCCAACATTTACGAGTACGGCTTCGAGCCACTGCCGCCTCCGAAGAAGAAGGCATCTAATGATAATCTGTCGCTGGGCAAGAAGAGCCGCCGCGATACCGACGCATCGGCGAAAACGGGCTTGGCTGTGGCGGACGACGTCTTTGGCGGAAAGGTTGGCGAGAAGCGGTCCACCAACGACCTGAAGAACGATCCCGAGCATGACAATTCCAAATGGATTCACCGCGATAAGCTGGCTCAGATCGAGAGCGAAGAGCTTCAGGCCGCGGGCATCATCTTGCCGAGACCACGCGCGAGTAGCAGGCCGCGGAGGGGTCGTAGCGAGGAGAAGCTGAACGGGAGCACCAAGAGGACGACGTCTACCGCCGCTGATGATGAGATGCCTCGCCCGAGGTCTAGGAAAGCCTCCATCTCCCCGGAAAACAGAGTCCCGACGGAAAAGATGCCCGACTTGGAGCCTTCTTCCAGCTGGGACTTGCGGCGGCCCGAGGAGATTGCCTTGGAAGGGGACGGTAACTACTGGATGTCCAATGGCGAGAGGAAGGGGCAGTCCAAGATTCCCGTCGCCAAGGCCAGCCCGGCTCCCATTCCAGAATCGTACATTGAGCG